AGGACTGACATTTATGTCACCTCACAACATTCTAATTCAGTCTGTCAGCAATTAAATGTACAAACAATTCCTTACTGTATAGCCCAGACTTGATTTGAACTATGTCACCCAACCCAGACTGGCCTCTGACTCTCAGCTCTCCTGCTTCAGCACCCAAAGTTTTGGAACTATGGGCATGTGCCATACACCCAGGTTACCATATTTATCTTACACTAAAAATGCTGCTGACAGAAAAACACAATCTTGGCATTTTGCTTGGATAGGCAGCAAAATTATTGGATCAAAATTTGTATTACCAGCAATTCAGTTATCATTTTTTAATGAAACTGAAAATTATCTTTTGTTTTAGAAGATTAAATTGACTAATTTTATGTTACATATATATATTCAGATATTTTTATGTTTATGCTTATTATTGAAATCAGATATGCACATACTTATCAAGAAATTTAAAAGGACAACTTGGCTAATGACAGAGTCTTTTCTTTAGAATAAAATTTTTTCAGCATACAGGTAAGTCTGGTCATTTTTAAAGACAATGAAAATGTGGTATTGGTTATTATGTAAGTGCTCCTCTCATGAATACCAGTTAAAGACTTTCATTAAGAGTTAAGATTAGTGTAGGACAAGTGACAAATCATAGAGTCTGAAGAGTCTCTTGTCTTAAACTAAGAGCTTTCCTCTGGAAGTGTTGCATACACCTGGGTTGGGAAAGAAGGTGAGCACACCTTTGCTGACTTGATTAAACTCTTATAAAGATGCACTGCTTTATTTAAGGCCCTTTGCATCATCATAACATGCCACACCATGAATTAGTTCTCAGTTTATTGTACAAGAAATCTTCATTTGTTTTTTAAGGCAAGCCATTGAAATCCCTGCAGCATATTTGTTGTAGTAATCCATAGACCTTAGTGCCCACTCTGCTGCTAAATGCAATTCTAATTCTAGGTTTTCTGTCCTTGTTTCTCTTCTCAAATGGGGCCTTCCCTCCTCTGCTCTTTAAAGTTTGCAGATTGTTTTTTATTATTTTCTTCAACCATGTGAAAAAGAGAAGGCTCATAACTGTATCACCAAGCAAATTAGGCCTTATGCAAAAGTGTGGTTTTCTTGACTATTTCCTTACAAAGAAATTCTACTCCAGTTCAGACGTCGGTATGCCATCTTTCTCAGTTGTTACCATCTACAGATAGTTGAATACCATATTGATTTTCTCTGCCTACTTCTCTAGCTTCTGTTTCCCATGTTTCCTGATTAAGGAGATTGAAGAGCAAGAAGGATTCTTGCGCTTTTTCTCCCTCTGCAACACATATTACTACATTTGAGAAAAATTTGACACTTATACCGTTTGAATTAACACAATGATCTCAAATACTAGGAGGCAAAGAAAACTGGCTGAGGTTAGAAACATTTTGAGGAAGTTTAGAAAGGTTGATACGGAAAAGAAAAGATTGATTTAAAATTTGTTTGAATTCTAAGGAAATAATAAAAAAGACTCAAATTTGTGTTCCATTTCTACTTTGCTTTATGGTAGAAGAACTAACTTCACTTATTTGTGTATGATAACAGTATCACAGTTATTAACACCTATGTAGTACTTAATGTAAAATCAATTCTTTGTTACTTGTGGCATCTATAGGATGTGCTGGTGTGACCCTCACCAGGTCGGTATTAGTATTATTCTCAATTTACAGAAGCAGCTCAGACATAGAGTGAAGTTAAAATTCTTGCTAGAAAGCAATCTCATTAAGATCCACCTGTCTCAAAAGCCTTCTAGCCTTCTCTGCTTCCTTGTTTAGATGGCTAGCAAGTTGATGACATGAGAAGTTCCTAAAAGACAAATCATACAGGAGTTTTTAAACTTAAGTATAGGGAGAAGATGAAAGAAAAAAGCAATTAAGAAAGACTAAGAGGATGATGATTATAAATATCCATGTGTATTTATTTATTTATTAGTAATAATATTGGATTTTTAAAGAGACATTGAATTATATAGCCATTTGAATAAAACTTTATATTTTTAATTTTTGTTTACATTTAATAAGAATGAGCTTGTATAAAATAAGCACTTGCCTAATATCCTGAGGCCCTAGTTCTGATTGCCCAAAGCACAAAATGGTGAGTAAGACAGGGCGTGTTGATAGTGGGACTAACTCTAAAAATCACACATGGCTTATAACGAAAAGGGAAAAGGCATTGTAAATGTCATGGATATTGAGTTACAAGCTTTAGGATTTTTGCTAGTTCATTTTTGCCTTGAGTCCCCCTCAAGGATCTTGGTTATTCAGTATTCAAAAAGGTTGGAAATAAGTTTATTTTTAAAACCATCTGATTTGGTAACCATGGATAGGAGTTACTCAAATATCTTAGATATTGGACTTCAAGTAGCAATTTATAACAAAACACCTGTAGAGAAATAATTACTAGAGGAGGGAAGAGCTCAGATAAATACCTTAGTCCAAATAAAGAAGCAAGTATGTAAAGTGTAAAAGCAAATGTTTCTATAGTAATATTAAACAACTTTCTGGATAAGATTAATCTTTCCAGACAACGAAAGTATGAAGATGTCCCCAGAGAAACTAGATAAAAAGAGACACACATGGAGGGCCCTAGGAAGGGATCTCCTGGGTAAACTAGTGGGGGGATAGAAAGAAGGGAGGGGATAGGGGATGAGAACATGTGGGATTGAGAAGACCAAGTTGGAAGAGGGGCATAGGGTGATGAGACCAATGAAAGAGGTATCTTGATAGAGGGAGCTATTATGGGGTTAGGGAGAAACCTGGTGTGCTAGGGAAACTCCCAGGAATCCACAGGATGACCCCAGCTAAGACACCTAGCAGTAATGGAGAGGGTGCCTGAGGGCCTTCCTTTTAATCTCTTGTCATCATAGAACCTACATCCAGTTACTGATGGAAACAGATGCAGTGATCCACAGCCAAACACTGGGCTGAGCTCCTGGAGTTCAGTTGAAGAGGAGTGGGGAATCATACAAATAAGGGGGAGCAGGGCAATAGCTTGTTGTGGAAAAACCACAGAAACTGCTTGCCTAAACTAGTAGGAGCTCATGGACTGACAGCTGGGGAACCTATATTGGACTGCATTAGACCCTCTGAATGTGGTTGACAGTTATGTGGCTTGATCTGCTTTGTGGAGTGAGCCTGGCAGTGGAATGAGAACCTATCCCAGAACATGAAAAGGCTTCTTGGAGCCCATTCCCTTGCTCAGCTTTGATATGGGGGAGGAGCTAGGTCCTGCTTCAACTAGGTATGCCAGACTTGGTTGATTCCCCATGGGAGGCCTTACTCACTCTGAGGAATGGATAGGAGTGCTAAGGATGGGGGTGGGAGGAAGAAGGACAAGGGGAGGGAGAGGGAACTGAGTGAGGTTGGTATGTAAAATGAAAAAAAAATTAAATTAAAAAAAATTAGTTCCACCTAAAAATACCATGGGTATATAATCATATACACACAAACAACACTAAACAGACTTAATGGGTTGTCTTTATATATCTATGCATTTATATATGTGTGTATGTAAGAATAATAGTAAAACAAAAAGAAGCTATCAATTTGAGGAGTGAGGGCACGGAAGAAGGGGGAAGGAAAGGGGAGAAATAGTATAATTATATTTTAATTAAAATTAACATACTATGCCATATATAGAGGCTCACATACACCTGATACTCTTAAGTCCTATTCAGAATTATTTATAGTGACAAAAGATACACCAAGTAGAATGTCTTTTCAGGCACAAGCACATAGTTACCCAAATGTAAAAGATGAGGTTGGATAGATGAGTACCCTGCTCAGCCATCATCAGAGAAGCTTCCTCCTGCACCATATGGGACAAAGAGACTACAGCCAGACATTATGAAAAGAATAAGAGGCCTTGCAGCATCAGCCCTAAATGGGGCGTCTCATCAAATCCCTTCCCTCAGGGCTTGAGGAAACTTTAAGGAAAAGAAGGGAAAAGGTGTGTAAGAGGCAGAGGCCATGGAGGACACCAAAGAAAACAAGGTCCTCTACCTCAGCATGAGCAAAGCACATAGAAACTAAGGCAAGCATGTGCCTGCATCACATTCTCTATATATTTTGTGGCTTCCAGTTTAGTGATTTTTATGGGATTCCTAAGTGTGTGAACAAGTAGGTGTTTCATTCTTATGCCTTCTTTAGGGCTCCTTTCCTTTTGTTTGTTTGTTTAGTCCTAGTCCAATATGTTAGTTTTTATTTTATCTTATTATATTTTATTATTCCTTTCAAGCCTGCTTTTTTTTCCTAATAAGAGACAAAGGGAGTGAATCTATCTGGATGGGAAGGGAGGAGGGAAGAACTAAGAATTGAGGGGAAACTAATCAAAATATGGTGTGTGAGAAAAAAATCTATTTACAATAAAAGGGAAAAATAAAGGAATATGGTTAAATGGCAAATAAAAACAAAAGTATCATAAAAATGAGGAAAGTATATGCCTGGGATTTTCGCAGGTTGGTGACTAAATGATCACAAATGAATGAGTGTTAGAGGAAGATTTTGTAGGTGACAAGAGAGTCTGACTCTTAGTGATTGAGGAATGTTAATTGATTTTATTTGCTTATATGGTCAATGACCAACTATCTTGTGAGTTGAAATCTTACCTTACAAAGAGGAATAAAAGATTTGTTCTGATTTTTTCTGTTTTTCCAAGTAAAAAAAAGGGTTTAGAATCTAGTCACACATAAATGAGTGCTTACCTAGTGTCCAGGAAGCACAGGAAACTTCCTGTACGCCAGTGAAAACCTTAGACAATGAGATATTTTTAGTGTCCAGTTTCTTTTCATGTAATAAGAATTCAGAATTACTAATTTGATATTCAAAAGCAAATATAAAATGGGATTGTATTTAAGATTTACCATACCTTGATCAGTACCCTTTCCTTACTTGCATATTGTAGTACCATTTATTGTTCAGAATTTTACTGTTCATGCCTTTTGAATTTTCTGGACTAGTTTTATTTATTCTCTCCTGAAGGTCAAGTAACCTGGTTTGGTTATGAAAGTCCTCGTAGCTTCTGGGACTACATCAGAGTGGCTTGCCGAAAAGTTTCTCAAAACTGTATCTGCAGCATTGAAAATATGGAAAATGTCAGTTCCTCCAGAGCTAAGGTAAGACTTAAGTCTGTCTAGTCTGCTTAGTAGCTATTGCACCTGGACAGAAAATATTTGAATGCTGTATTGAAGAAAAAAAAAGTTTCTTTCTTCATTGGAATTTGCACATTACCCAATTTAACACCCTTTAGAGGTTTTATTTTTATTTCATTGTGTGTGTGTACTTATTTGATAATACTCTTCGCTGTCATATCTTGAATATATATTAACCCACTCACTACAAGTTTCCCATTAAGAAACATTTTAAAGTATATTCTGCTGAAGCTAGGTATCTTAGTGCTTACCTGTAATCTCAGGACTTGAGTGGCAGAGTTGGGCAAACCTCTAAATTCCAGGCTAGCCTGGTCTATAGAATGAAGTCCAGGACAACCGTGGCTACACTCACAGACCTTGTCTTGGAAAATAAACAACACACACACACACACACAGACACACACACACACCATTTTCCTTTTCATGGTGTTAACATCTACACTACTAATGCACAAACAATGGTGACCAGACTTGGACAAATAAAGGAGGTGGCATCAAATGACACAAGTCATTGAGTGATTTCCTACCATACACTTTTGTATTAAAAAGGGAGTTTTACTTCAGAATGTGTGCTAATGGCATAGTAAGTATTGATTATTCAATTTAAGCTTTGACTAAGTATTGACTACAACAATTTGGTATTGTTATAATTTTAAAAAGCGGTGCTTGAGGAAAAAGACAGTATGCAATAAGAGCTCATGTGGAGGGGTTTTTTATTAGGGGAAAGGGAATGGGAAAAGGAGGGAGGGAAAGGGAGGAGACCAACCACTGTGGACAGGAGCAGCATAAGAGAGAGGGAGAGGTGGAGAAAAGGAGAGACAGAGAGACAGAAAGAGAAGGAGAAAGATGGGAGGTGGGCAGGGCCCTTTTAAAAAGGAACACAGTGAATGTGCACAGGTGGTGCTTTTAGTGGCTGCAGCTGAGGGCATATCCTGTCAGAACCCCAAGGACAGGCCTGTACAGATGCCTGAATACTAACATATATGACAGTGTGTACTATGACTGGGCATGACTATGCATGCCTATAGACTCAGCACTAGGGAGGCTGAGGAAAAAGGGAGAATTGAGGGTTTGAGGCCAGCTTGGGAGACATAATGAGTTCCACCTAGCCTAGATTATATAGTAAGCTGTATCAGAAAATATTTCTGTAGCATATTGAAAAGCTATGGTTACTTCAATAAGTAAGTGTCTTGTTGTGAGCTGATCCAGGCACTTTTTGTGAAGAAACTTACAAAGTGTACTCTCGTAAGTGCTTACCACACAACAATGAGGACCTGCATTTGATCCCCATTTGGTCCGCTGCATGAAAGGCAGGTGTGGCAGTGTGTGCCTGGGATCTCTGCTCTGAGGATCTGGGATCTCGTGGGATTTACTGGTCAGTCTAGTGAGAGGCTTTGTCTCAAAGATCAGTGAGCACAGCTTTTGTGGATTAAACTCAAGATTATCCTTTGACTTCCACAGGCACTCACACACATGTGCTCATGTACATACACACATGTGTGTGCACACATTACACATGTACACATGAACATACATGAACAGAAAACATTAATTTTTTTCAGATTTAAACATGTGGCAGACATTTTCTTGAAAGAGACAACATTTTTTTTCCCCTAAAATAACTGACGATATTTGTTGGTAGGTGCCAAGCTTTTAAACAAAAATTAAACTTGGGGAAAGCTTGAAATTAGTACTTTAAGCTTGGTAGAGTTTTTTCTGAAAATGGTGTTATCAGCAATGTGATTTTAAACTGTTTGATAGAATTATATTTTCAAAGTGACCAATTCATTTAATTACAGAAAAAGTATGAGTGAATAATTAATTCAGTTTAAGATAAGCATGTGAATTTAATGTAATACAGTATTAAAAGTTCATTGTTTTAGTTACATATTCCACATTGCATCTAATTTGTTAAGTTATTAATTAGTGGTTATTAGATATTAAATGTCAGCATTAAACATCACTTCTTCACATTCTTCATGGTTTTAATTTGAAACCAAAATAAATATTGTTGATGATCTAAATGACTTTGAAAATGCATTAAATGGAAAAGCTAGTTGGGCTTTAACTGCAAATTTTACATAAACAAATTTTCCCATCTTGTGGTAAATCAAAGTATCAGATGCTTAGATCTTGTGAGAGATTAGATTTCCCTCAGGTCCTGGGATAAGATTGAGAACCAGAACATGAAAATGCTGGTAGTTTCAGCAAGGTGAAAGTGGTCACAGCTAGAACCATAAGGACAAGAAAGGGACTTCAGTTGCTGACCTACAATTGCAGAATTTGACTATCAACTGGCATGAACTTGGGTGTAGATTTTCCCCTGGGGGCCCCCATTTTGAGTGAGCCTAAATAGAAAGATCCTGGTGTTGCCCACCCAGACTAATGGATAATGTGAGATGCTGAGTTGGTGCCCTTTTAAATCTGGAATTTTAATTTACTGCTTAGCAAAAGAAAACTAATACAATCTACTTTTTCCTAACTTAATTTCTTATTGCCTTCCTTTCCCACCACAGCACTATGCTGTGTGTAATTGCTGCATGGAAAGTAATGTTTAGCACAAATAAATCTCTCAAAACAGTTGAATGAAAAAAAAATTCACAAGTGTTGTGTTACATAGATTAAGTCATTCTTAAAAGCACAATGATTTACTACTTGAAGTGCTTCCCAAATCTGAGATAGCTCTTTTTCTACTGAATGATGAAATCCCCAAATTCCAGTAAATAAAAACAATTTTAAGGGAGAAATACATAATCATAGTGTAAGCACACAGAATCATGGAGATGTAAACAAATTTGTATTACAAAGCTTTGAGTCATTATGGTTAGATCATATATTGTTCTTGTTTCTATGGCATGTACATTGTGGCAAGACTGAAGACCAGAGATATCCACATCTAATCTATTCCTATCAATTCTTTTTATTTGGGAAATTGTCCTAGGGAAGTCGCATGGAGCATGGATCTATACAGAGTAGCTTGATAACCTAAAAATAAGGACTCAACTTTCTAGTTTTCAGACTTAAAATAGGAGACAAGAGCAAAACCAGCATCGTAAACCCCTGTAATACAGGCTGGAATAATTGGCTTGTCCTCAGAATACAGAAGTAATTGAGAAGACAACAAACATCAGAAACACAGCACTTTAATCCAAAATTGTTCTTCAGAATGAGCCTTATTTGAAGAGAGAACTTGATAACTGTAGGGTTCATAATGCAGCCACAAAGTCAAAAAGCATTAGAATAGAGACAGCATCAGACTACAGACAGGAGGATGGGCCTTGAAAGGACAGAGACTTCCCTTCATATCCCAAGAGAAGCTTCATTAGGAGAGATAGTCACCATGTAGAGTGTGACAGGCCCCTTCTTGAAGGAAGTGACATTCCAGAAAAGATGTGGGTGGTGTTCTGACACTTACAGGATTTGGGGGTGAGCAAGCTTCTTAACCACATCTAGCAGGGCATGGCCTTCATCCCAGTGGACATGCACTAGGTAGAAACATAAACATCTTGCAGCTACAAGGAAAGGGAATGTAAGGCTATAGAAAGACATGCTTTCTTGTCAGCTCTGTCTGTTAAAGAGAGCAGGGGATGGTAGAGAGGAATATGGGGAGGGGTGTGGTCTGATTTCTGGGAGAGAAGCAGGCAGTTAGATGGTCTGTAAACTTGAATTAAACAGCAGATAAAATAGCTGACTGAAGATTTTCATCTTCTGTAGAAAATAGGAGGTTAAGGTTCTGGAAAAACTAGGTAGAATGTTCTGTAAACACTCCAGACTTTCATTTGAGGCCAGAAAAGATTTTATACTGAGGATGAAGATAGGAAGGATCAACTATCCTTCTGATAAAAAAGGCCTTAAAGTGGTGCCCTTCTATATGCCCCCAAGGAAAAAAAGTCAAATATGGAAAAAGGAATAAGTTCCACAGGTTATTGTTAACTGTCTCTGTTATTAAATCAAATCAATCATATCAAAAACATTGTCTAGGTGTGGCGGTAAATGACTGTTATCTCAGCTCTTAGGAAACTCAGGAGGAAGGATCCCAAGATCAAGGCCAGCTGGGCCTATGTGGCAATACTGCCTCACATCTCATAGTCCCCAAAAGGTAAAGAAAAGAAAAAGATGACTGATACCAAGAAAACTAATAAAGAAACAGAGCTATGGGTGGTAAATATGATAAACTTTTAAGTAATTACAATTGCTAAAAAAAATAGAAACAAAGATGAGTAGTTTTCAAAGAACTAGCTATTAAATATAATTGTCATCAAACATACATAGGACTTATACAAACATTAACCGTTTGTGAAACCTTATTTGATCTCAGTGGCCTCCAAAGGACTGGGATTCATGTGAAATACATTCTCTAACCACAGTGGAAGTAAGCTGGACTCCATAACAGCAAAATAGCAATATGCTTTTATGAGTGAAAATTTGAAGGACCTCTAAGTAGTTCATCGGTGAAAGAGGAAATCATAACCAAAATTGAAATTTATTGGAAAAATGACAATTAAATACAGTATATAAAAACAGGATTCAAGGAAATAGATTTAAGAAGGCTTTTGTGTATGTTTGAATAACAAGAAGTGCTAGATACCAGTTATCAAAGATTTTATTTCAACAAGCAAGCACAAGTAGTAATAAATAAAGAGCAACACTTCCATCACGTCAAAGCAGATTTATTCTAAAATAGAGCTAAAAGCTGTGAGTACTTTCTGGTGACTGGTATAATTAATAGATTTCAGGAAATCCCTCCTTGATGTAAAATAGATTATAAAACATCAGGAATGACGACAACACCAATCCCATATAGCTTGTAGACAAATGGTTCTCAATGCATATTTGATATTTATATTATGATTCATAAAAGTAAAAAAATTATAGTTATGAAGTAGCAATGAAATACTTTTATGATTGTGATTACCACAACATGAAAAACTGTATTAAAGGGTCACAGCATTAGGAAGATTAATAACCATTGTTGTAGACAGTAAAAATCCTGTGAAGTTATTATTAATAATTCACATTTATAAATTTGTAAAAAATATAGCAGTGGGAAAGTTCTTTGGAAAATAATCACTTAGCCAATCTGAGATAGAGAACATCTGAATATTCTAATAATTAAGTTGAACTATAACTAAACTATAACATGCTCCTACATGCAGATCTATTTTTAATCTGGTAGAGATTTGTATGAAATTTATACTGGTTTGTATTCATGGGTGACATTCTTTTGTCAAATATATCAAGGCAGATATCTTTACTATTTGATATCTTGTTTCTCTTTTAATTGATGACAGTTCATTCTCTGGATGAGAAAAGAAGGTAGAGTTAGTTCATAGATCAGTCTACTTGATAAGGAGATGAGGGTTTTTTTCTATACTAATAGCGTTTTTTTTGTGTTTCATCATATAGTTAAGTAATGATAGTTTAGTAACCAAAATTCATGCAGTACTTATGGGTACTATTTTAATAAGAACTGTCTACATTCATGTTTTTGAAGTCTCAAAGATTCATCTTTGTCAAGTATTAAAGTGTAAATTCCTTAACATTGCTTCAGGTTTTCTATATCTTAGTGGCCAACAATATTCATAAATCTTGCTTGTTTTTCTATTCTAGTAAAAGTTCTTTCATTGAAAGAAAATAAATCATTAAAATTAGCACAATTTGTTACCACAACAGAGAGTTCCACACACATACAAGGACAGGAAACTAAGTACAGCCCAGTTCTGTGTGGATCAGAATTAATAAATCAGGAAGCAGGACTTTCCCCACATCTCTTATCTAGCCAAAGCACAGCCTCCTGTGCCTAATTTTCTCTGGATGGTGCCTTCCCTTGCTTCTATACTTGTGACAGTAGTAGCCTTTTGATTCCACAAGGCATTGCTAGTTTCTGTGTCTGTTGGATTAAATTTCTAGTGAGAATCTTGGGACTGTTGGGCAGCCAGCAGCTTGCCTTTTCCTTCCTCTGTTTCAATCAGCTCCACCTCATGTGGGTTCCTCCAGACTTACTCAGAAGGAACAATGGACTAAGTGCAGAGCAAGCTGAACTTCAGTGTAGTGGGAAGCTTGGCTTGCAAGGACATCCCCATTGTTCATTTTTCTTCCCAGCAGCATTGCTGTTCAAGCCTGGCTGTTTTTTAATCGCTACTTAGATTGCTTCCTTTCTTACCCACGAGTATGCTGAACTCATTGTATCTGTTGACATTTTCATGCTTTTCTCCAAGCCCACTAGTTAAACATACTACATATTGACTATGCATCTTTATTATCATTGCTGTTCAGTGCTATTGTTTTCTGTGTTATTCAGTTGTCATAAATTTTCCTGGATATTTGGGAGGGACTAGGTAGAAATGAAAGTAAATGGAATTTTGTACTCCCTTCAGATATTATTCATTATATTCTTTCAGTCTAAATAGGCTACAAAAAGGGTTGGAGGGGGTATCCCAGTTAAGTAAAGTGCTTGCTACACCAGGAATGATGGCCTGAATTCAAGTCTCTAGCACCCACCAAAAAAAAAAAAAAAAATCCTGATGTGGTGGCCAGGAGTATGTAGGATTACAGCAGAGACAGGTAGATCCCATATGCTTCCTAGCCAGTCAAAACAACCAAATGAATCCCAGTTCAATGAGAGCCATTGTCTCAAGAAGGAAAAAAGATATAGAGCAATAAAGATACCTAGAATTGACTTTTGACCTCCACACATAGATCCGACCACACCAGTACAACCACAGGCACACACAAACACACACAAACTCACACATCTATAAGGAATATTTTGGAATATTAAGAAAGACTAGCTAACACCAACTACACACTCTGACTCTGTGCTGCCATATACTGACATCTGAGTGGAGTTTTTGTTAAAACCAGAGCCTGGAGCATGTTGAGCCAATGCTGTATCACTAAGATATATCCCCAGTCCCCAGTTTTTTGTTGTTTTCTATCTTAAATATTAGTAGTTCATGATTGGACCTGTGAACAATCATATATTGTAATTTATTGTCAGTATGAAAACCACCTTTTGTGGCATAAATAGAAAATTGTCTCAAACAAGTGTTGTTGGGGTGACTACAAAAGACACTGTTTCATGTGTTTTATAAGGGCTCATTTAATTAGCATGCTGATTTTTTGACATTGAAGTAGAATTTTATATAAATGTACTATATGATTCAAAATGCATCTCTAACCCAAGTAGCTTATTTTTATCAGAGGACATAGTAGTTTGCTATGTTATATTATCTTCTGAAAAACAAAATATATGCTTAATATTACTGAAGTTTTCTGGTTTGTCTTCTTAGATATTTTTCTTAGTCATTCTTCATTTTGAATTATTTGTTCCATATTGTTAATATGCATATATTTGACATTGTATAGAAAACATTCTTTAAGTTTCTTATTTGATCCTTTCTTGTTCCTCGTAGGGTAGAGCCTGGATCAGAGTAGCACTCATGGAAAAGCATTTGTCTGAATACATCTCCACAGCTTTGAGAGACTTCAAAACAACCAGGTCTAACAGTCCTTTCAACTTTCTAATGTTTATTGACTTGAAAATCAGAATGAGGAGGTAGTCTGAAGTTGTCAAATTTGAGGTCGTCCATTTTTCTTGCTGTTCTGATAAATCTCTTATCTTCTTAGGAAAGTGTAATTTGTTAACTGAACATATATTTGACTTACTGGTTTGTGTAAAAGGTGTGCCTGGAATGTCTTTTCTTGGAGACACTCTGATTATCAACCTTTCAATGCTTGGACATTCACTCTCCCCATTTACTCTTCTTGACAAATGTGAAGGAAGGGCTAAATATGAAGTTCTTAGATAACCTATCTCTTTCTCTAGAATAGTGCTGCCTTATTTCTTTGCGTGGGAGGACTATAAATAGATCATTTAGTCCTTTCATTCATGTACAGAATTACTGGTGGTTTTGTTGTACACTACAAAGTGTACTCTTTGTAGATATTACTTTTCTAAGGTTACATAGATTTAAGGCATGGCCTACTGTGTACTCTATAAAAATGAAGACCTTACTGCCTTTGATTGCTGGTGAAAGGGTTTGCATTAGGACAACAGTCATGAATATTTAGTTCTTGTCTGCTGATCAACATTTGTTGCTATTAATAACACTACTTTCCTTCATACCAGAAGTATTTGTATATGAAATCATTTAATAATTTCACTACCTTAGACATATACTGTATCGTGCCACAGGCAAAAGACACTGTTAATATTATATAAAATTCCAAATTCAGTTGTTTAGTTTCCATGTCACACTTCAGGTATTTCACGAATGGCAAACTGCAGAATATTTCCCATCTTAATAGAAAGTTCTACTAGCTTGGGCTGCCTTCGTACCTAAATGACTATACTTATTTAACCCCAGTGTTAGTTCTGAAAAGGATGGAAAATTGGCAGCTGGAAACCAGTTTTGATAAAGAAAAAATTAGGTACAAAAAACTCATGAATCTAGTACCCCAATTTCCATGTCCTGATGTAGTATTTACTGATATATATTTTAAGAAAATCTTGATGTTTGTTATGGCATTCTTTTAGTTAGCTAACTGATACAGAGCTTTACTGAGAAGACTTCATCTTTGTAGATAATAAATAAAACATTAAGCTTTTAATTTTGTGGGTTCAAAGGATATTATGATAATAAATTTGATCAGGAAAAAGATTTTTTAGCTATAAAAGTATATTCATAAGATAAATATGTATTTATTAAGGGATTTTTAGATACTTAATACTCTTGACATGTATCTAAAGAGAATAATGAGATGATGATAAACTCTTAGACCTTTGAAATGAACCTGACAAAATAAAATATTTATCATAACAAGGAGACAAAGTTACTTATGGAAAGAAATATTGAGGGTACAGATGCTTTGTAAATAAAACTAGAGCATAGTAACAGAATCTAATATGCTAAACCAAAAAATCCTAAATTAAAACTACTCTTACACAATAATTATCTCTTATGTAATTATAATATTTCACCTTTTCTAAATAAACACTAAAACATCTCTTTTAAGTTGTTAGTCCTTTTTCTTAGTTGAAATGTTTGGGTGTGGTAGAAATAATTTTTGAGTCGATTGTTTATGGAACAAGTTTAAATATTAAAGGGAACCACTTTAAGCCTTGACTTACACCTCGCTGTACTCTGATGAAAAGGAAATGATTCAGCTCTAAACACAAAAGTCTCTGAAGTAAAGTCTTCAAAAATATACAAACATTCTATTCAAAACAGAAATGTGGCTTAGTGCATGTTATATGCATGCATGTATGTATACAAAAACATATCTGCCTTATTAAAGGTGCTTACATGTGAATATAGTGTCTTTGTAATTCATAAGAAGGAGAGTACACACAAAAATATTTCAGAATTGTCTTCTTGGATTGAGACTAATAAATGTGAAAACCCATAACGTTTCTTTTTAATACTTAATGCTAGGATTTTTACTGAAATAAGTTATAAGTTATTTTGAATGTAAATACCTGGCCAACAAACATTTGTAAAAGTGAGTCTGTAAAACATAAGAAAATACTGGAGAGAATAGTTGTACATTACCTTTTATTTGGATGCTTCTCAGCTTAAGTGCTATAGGAGAAAGTTAATCAATCCTCTAAGGATCTTGAGGGTGTCTGAGTCAAGTGGACTTCTTCTTGTTCTGTCTGACTTCACCGACAAAGAGAAATGATAGTTTTAAAAATAGTGACTATGTGTTTACCCCGGTGCAAGGGGAGGAGCTAAGGCAGGCAATTTTGAAGCACTAATCTGTGACAAGCCCAGGGTGGTTGTGGGTGGAGGAAGGGTGGGAGCTGAAGTGCACATTCTTGGAGAACAGGACTGCCTTTAAAGTATTAAAAAACTTCATGTGATCTTCTTACTAGGGTGGAAAGTGACTGGAGGAGCAACTGGAAAAAAAATAAAAGTAAAAGCTTGTAGTGTTTTGCGATTCAGGAATTTGGGTGTTACTGGGCATTGGGAAGTGATAGAGTAGACGCTGAGATTTGTTTTTAAAAGTGGAAAGTTGCTTTGATAGCACCTTGGCAAAAACCTCAAGTGAAAAGTGAATTTAAAACTGAATTAGTTTTCTCAAAGTTTAATTTCTGCCTACCCAGAGACTAAAAAGTAATTAGAAACAATAGGCTAAGTTTTATAGGTATGATATTTGAAATGATATTGAAAATATTTTGGTAAAGGTTTTAAGTAGCAAATGTTGCCAGTAATAAATTTAGAAAATAGAAAGAGAAAATTAACTTTATGGAAACTTACATTTAGCTCCTTCAGTGTTTAAATTATATCTATAATTATGTTATAAACAAATGTCAGTTTTGACAATTTTTTGCTATAAATAAGGGAGGGAATAAAGTGTCAAATAAAACTAAATTCCTAACCAATCATTAAAAGTGGAACTCCCAATTTTAGATAAGTAGGTAGAATAAGTAACAAGTTTCTAAATCTTGCAAGAATCAAGAAAAAGTTTTAGAATATATAAATATACTAAATGTTTCTATTAAAATTATCTTTCAATATCTGTGAATTTGCTTTTGTTTCTCATTGACTGAGAAATTCCAGAAGTGATTCATGCATTTTATATAACTTTTTTTACTGGTTGTTGTTAATGTCTGCTTTAATCGTGTTGCTTGTTTATAAGTTAAGCTTACCATAGTGTGAGTATACAGGAGAGACAGACCACACTAGCTGTTCCTGGCCTCGCAATGACTTTCCTCTGGAGAAACTCACAGTGTGCTGAAAATGCTGTTAAGTCAAAACTGCTTTTAGTACACCAGCCTGCCAGCACCAGAGCTTAGCTTGTTGTACTTTAACATTCTCAAAATGTATGGCAAGTCTGTTTATAGATAGTAACAGCTAACTGGGAGCTATAGCTCACTGCCACTGCTCAGCTCCTCCCTTAGCAATAATAAAAGTTCAAAATCTGAATTACAATTGCTTTTGAATGTCCACTGTTTTCTCAATAACCTTTAGGTAAAAAAATTGGAAGCCAAACTCATATATTGACAGTACAGACTTTTTGGTATTATCTACAGTTTCAGACATTCAGCGGGTATCTTGGGATGTTCTTCGTGGATGAGGAAAGCTTCTACATTAAGATGAAAAAATAAGTACCACTAAAAGTTGATTTTGGGTTGGCCTACCTCATGATTTATATTAAAAACTCTAAGTAGATTAGACTTAAATACAAAATTATTGAAAGAAAACATAGGCTTAGATATTTGATTAGTTCATTATCTCCTTGACATGATATCCTATATACAAAGACCACAAAAAAAAAAAAAAAGAAAGGCAAAAATTGGGCATCAATACTTATAACTTGTTTTTTCCATGGACACCATCAAGAAAGTAAGCAGAAAAATACAGACTGGGAAAAAATTAAAAATAACAAACATATCTGATAAAAAGCATGTATCTAGACTATATATAGAACATTAATAAAATGAACAAATTTTTCTCTGATGGAGGTATACAAAATGCTCATAAATAGCACAATGAAACCTTGATGGTTAATTTTCATTGTCAGCTTGACAGAATTTGGATCTTTGGATATTTCAAGAGAAATTTAACCATGGAGAGATTATCCATGGAGATGCTCTGTGGAGAGATAACCACGAACGTGGGTGACACTACACTATCTGTGGTGTCCCAAACTGAATACAAAAAGGAAACAGGAGAAAACCAGATGAGTATTCCCCCTTCTGTGTTTCTGGATCTGCTAACTACAAGGGCAGCCATACTCTGCTATCCTAATGGAGTCTACCATACCCTTCCCTCCGTGATGGGTTATAACCTCAAAATGTGAGTCAGATTAAGTACCTTTTCTCTTAAAATGCTTCTCCTCAGATAATTGATTATAGCAATGAGAAAGTAATTAGCGCAAAGCTCAGCATCATTAGCTACCAGTAATACAAATCTGAAGCATAATTATATACCATTTAATATCAAGTGAAATGTATGTATACAAAAGATTACATGAAAACAAATGTTGATAAGAATTTGGAAAATTTGGATACTTGATACTTAGCTTGTTTGAAAAGGAAAATGGCATATAAACTTTGAAAATAGTATATGGTTCCTCAAAAAATTTTATGTAAAATTATAATAAGACCTGTCATTTGACACTTATGGGTGGTGTGTGTGGATGTGAGCTATAGCTATATACTAATGCATGTATGTAAAATTGATAAAATAGTTATATAAGTATGCATGCATCTATTTATAGCAGCATTATTTATAAAGACAAAAGAGAAAACAACCCAAATGCCCATTATATAATAAAGAGACAAAATATATGATATCCATTCATTTACCCACAAAAATGATTGGAGTACTGAAACATTTTACAGTATAGATAAATCTTGTCAACATGCAAAGCCAAAGATGCCATTTACAGAAGGCAAGATGGTTTCTTTATAGTTTCCTTAATTAAAATGTCCAGGATAGCTAAATAAATACACAGGAACAGGAGTAAGACTAGAGGTATATAGACTGGGAT